GCGGGGGTCGCGGCGCGGCATGGGACCTGCGGCGTCCGCCGGGCGCGCCGCGCGTCCTCCCGCCGGCCCCGCCGCTCTCCCCGCCCCGTCCCGCCTCCCGCTCGCCTCCGCCGCGGCGCGTCGGGCCGGGGCGCGCCGAGCGGCGAGAAATTGTTTCCACTGCAAACAAAAAAAGGCGACACATGACCAGGCAGGAGGAGGGGAAGCGCGGGGAGGGAGGGGCGCGGAGGGGAGGGACGGAGCGGAGGGGGCGGAGGGAGCCGGAGAGAGGGAAAACGTGGGCCGGGTCGCCGGCGGCCCGGGGTGCGGACCCGCCGGGGCGGCCCCAGCCCGCGCCCCACCTCGCCGCGATCGACCCCGCGCGCCGTGCCCGGGCGGCCCCCGGGGAGAGGCGGGGCGCAGCCGGGGCCCAGGCCGGCCTGGGCCGCGCGGAGTCGCCTCTAGCCGCGGGGCGGGGGTGACCCGCGCGGGCCCCCGCGACCCGGGGCGGCCGCGACCGTGGGCGGCGGGGCCGGCTGGCGGGCGGGCGGCGTGCGGCCTGCCCCTTCCCCGGGCTCCGACCACGCGGGCGGGCCGGCGCTGTGCCGCTGGCAACGTGTCGCCAGAACGCTCCTACCCCATCCGCATGCCTTACAAGGCTCGAAAGTAAAAATAAAAAGAATTACGATGCGGGCGAGGCTTGCGAGGGGGAGAAGAGATTCCACTTCTCCCCAACTACGGCGTCCTGGCGGGGCTCCCAGGGCAGTCCCCAGCCCTCCTCCTGCGCCCACCCCGAGCCCCGGGAGGAAAGGCACAAAGGCACCGCAGCCGCCCGCCCCGCTGGCCGCTCCCCCTGTCGTCCGCCGGCGCGTGTCTGCGGAGGGACGGAGGGTGGCCATTACAGACAACCGAGCGAGGGGCCCGTCCTAGAGGCCACGCCGGTAGGGCCTCTTCAGGGGGCAGGCTCAGCGCCGCGACCGACTTAGAAACCTCGAGCGAAAACCGGCCTTATCTCCTTCACATTTTGAGTTCTCGAGAACCCGACAGACAATTCGCAGGGCCACCCAGCGACCGGCGGCGTAGCCACCGCTCCAAGTCTTGAGGCTCCTCCAAAGAAGGGCCACCCACTGCTAAAGCCACACCAACCAGCTGCCTTTGGAGAGGATGAAAGGAGAGTCCAACAGGACACCCTGGTGGTGACACAAATAAAAATATGATTGCACACCGCTCGCACGTAGCCCAATCAGTAGGTTCCTCCACAGAAGAGAAGCCCAGGTGACAACTCCCATCACCCCCACCTGAACCCACCTGAGCCAGTGGACCGGCCATTTTG